CGATTTGGGGGTCCGTGGCTGCCCTCGTGCGGTCGCCTTCTTTGGCCCTCTCGCGGCCCGGCGTGTCGCGCCGGTGATGGGTCAGTACTTTAACCGCTGAGAGGGGGTGTCTTTCCTTTTGGCAATAGACTCGTAGCAGGAGCTAATGCGGGCTATGCGAAGCTTGAGCCGGGTTAGCTAAGGCGTAGGGCCTTACGGCCGTTTTAAGTGGTACGACTTGAGGCCGGCGATCCGTGTCCTCAGGATCGTCTTTTGCATAAATAGCGCGTGTTGCAGGTTTTCTGTATCTTGTTTTTGTTGTTCAGCACGCGCCCCGCCCTCCCACCCTGGAGGCCGCGTCGCCCGCCCTTTTCGCTCTACTACATTATTTCTTTTCCTTTTGGTTCGGTGCGGCCTTTTCATCGATCAGGCCGTAAGAGCACAGCCAATATCTGTAACAGAAATGGCAATGGCAATAGACTCGTAGCAGGAGCTAATTGATATAACGCAATCAATTCATAATAATTCATATGTCGTGAAATAAAACAATTTAAAACATAAATCATTGACACAATCTGAATACCAAGCTTGTTGCAAACAGTGAGGTCTTAACGGAGACTGCAATACCTCTATAAACAGCAGGCTTCTACAACAAACATGCAGACAATTGCTTACCACCCGCGCGTTGGCTCAGCACGGATTGGCTGGGTTCAGCAGGATGTCATTAGACCGGCCCTGCTTCCGTGTTGCAATCGCAAGGTCACCTCCACGTCAACTTCACTGTTGGGGCGCGCAAAGACACCAGGTACATAAATCTCCTCTAATTAAGGCTCGAGTTCGTGAAGGTGACATGTAAGCTTCCCGTGTCTTACTGTTAGGAAACCTGCCTGGGGTTGTTGTTGCCGCCGCGGCTGCGGCTCCAGCGGCTGGCACTGCTGCGATTCCGCATTGGAAACAGGCTATGGACGAGCTAGGTAAGGCTAACGCATGATTTAACTGTCGTTCTTTCTTTGAACGTTAGTAGCTTACTACGTAGCTATTCGTTGCTACATGTTATGAAAGATATGGAATTTTTGTGTATGTATTTATTGTTATTCACGTAACGCGAATTGTTCTCAGTCATATCGTGTTATCACGCTGGCCAAGCGCTCTCATATTTTGTTCCTGTTTTCCGGACTGTGCCGATAAACAGACAAGCCAAGGGATCAGCGTAAGATTATGATTTGCCAGGTGAGAGCTAACACCGTCTTGAATACTCTGTAATTTGGTGCGTCTCTACCCTCTGTCCCGGTATTGAGGTCAGTTAGTCGTTAGGCGGCCATGCTATGGCCGAAAAGCTGTTGATACATGGCTGAAGGATCATCCCTTTTGAATAATGGATATTCAAATATCTGGAAGGCCATTTTCAGACTTATTCCAGTCTTCTGCTCGACAGGTGGCCCCTGCAGTTCGCGTGGCAATTGCCGAGTGCTTCGGCCTCGCTCCTGGCGCCACAACACCTGGCCAGCTAGCAGAGTCTCTTCGACGCCTGGGCTTCGATCTGGTGTTCGGTAAGCTACAATTATGTGACGACCCGCGGGGCATCGTTTGCTTTTTTTATGTTGTTCTTTGAAGCACCATCAGTCACGCTGCCGGTTCAAGGTCAAGAACTGAAGAGCATGTATTAATTCATAGTTGAAACTCCCACTCGCAGACACACTCTATGGCGCTGACCTGACGATCATGGAGGAGGGGACAGAGCTGATTCATCGCCTTCAGGCTCAACTGGAGGCTCACCCGCACAGCGAGGAGCCCCTGCCCATGTTTACTAGCTGCTGCCCGGGATGGATTGGTAAGCAAATAGTCGCTTGATCGCTCTAATGCATCAGGCGATAAGGAACGGACAGGCAGGACTACTTGCTTGTAACTCTCGCTTTTCATGCGCCTGTTTCCGGTCGTCGCTTTGGTTGAATACTTTCCTTCATCGCCAAATATCCCCAGTCGCCCTTTTCGCCCTTGATCCGCAGCTCTCCTTGAGAAGTCCTACCCGGAGCTTATTCCGTACGTGTCGTCGTGCAAGAGCCCCCAGATGATGCTTGGCGCCATGGTGAAGACGTACTTGGCCGAGAAGAAGGGCATCTCGCCCAGTGACATCAGCATGGTCTCCATCATGCCGTGCGTCCGCAAGCAAGGTGAGTGTCACATCTCAAAACGAGTATAAAGATAGTGGTAGTCATATACAGGGATAGTGTGATAGTGATAATGTGTATCAGGTACACCTCCAGAAATAGTGTCCGGTGAAATGCACGTGTTGTCGTACACGCAGGGCCTGACACGGTGCACAGCAACTAGTTCTTACCTGCCGTTGCACGGGATACCGTGCCGGATACATACATATATACGCTGAACATGTGTACCATGCCGTACATGTGCCATCTGCCACTACCAAACATCCAGTACAATGAATGGCCCCCGTTGTAGACCAGGTGCCTGCAGGCTGACCGCCATCAGAAGCACAAAACTGCTGGACGCTGCGGTTATCCTCACTCCATGTCTCCACCGTGAATTACGTCACGCAGGCGAGGCTGACCGCGACTGGTTTTGCTCGGGCGGCGCGGGAGTCCGTGACGTTGACCACGTGATCACCACTGCCGAGCTGGGGAACATCCTCAAGGTACGGCAATTCGTACGGCGTATTCGTTTGCCTCGGACCAGGGAAGGCGCCTATTTCTGTCCGGGTCTGAGGGCACATTGGCCTTGTTCGCTTCGTTGATCATAAGACTAAATAGACTAAATAATAATGTCGACAGCCATCTGGGTCGTCACGACGCCGCCACCAGATTCTGTTTAACAATCGTTCATCAAAGTGTGCAAATGTTGTTCATTGCTGCTGCACGTTATGCCCTTTCTTAAGTGTCATCTGTTTCCTTCCGTTAAAAAAACAACAGGTACTTGGCCTCCTTGACAGGCTGCGCTGACCATACATGTATTCATCGCCTTACTGTTGATTGCAGGAGCGCAACATCAACCTGCCCGAGCTGCCTGAGGGGTACTGGGATCAGCCCCTGGGAACGGGCTCGGGTGCGGGGGTTATCTTCGGCACCACGGGCGGTGTCATGGAGGCAGCCCTGCGCACGGTGAGTTGGTCCGCCGTGTGATTTTTTTGATATCTGATACCTCGGCCTGCTAACGATAGTTCTAGTTTCTATGTTTATGAGGCGCACGGATGGAGTATGCGCAGGTTGTGTCGGGGTTACCTTACCACGGCTTTGGGATGTTTTCTCTGCCAGCCATTATGGGCCGCCCGGCATTCCTTGTCTCTCCTGCAGGCTTATGAGTTGGTGACGCAGCAGCCGCTGCCCCGTCTCAATCTATCCGAGGTGCGCGGCATGGACGGAATCAAGGAAACAGAAATCAAGATGGTGCCGCCGCCTGGCTCCAAGTTTGCTGAGCTCGTCGCTGCGCGTGCGGCTGCCAAGGCTATGGACGAGGCCGCGGCCAGCGCCGGCGCCATTAAGTGGGATGGTGGGTCCAACTTCACCGCTGATGACGGAGCTAACGGCATTACGCTGCGAGTGGCTGTTGCCAACGGACTGGGGAACGCAAAGAAGCTGCTCACGAAGATGCAGGTGCGGAGTGAACAAGTAAAGGTATTACTTTTTGTCACGCGTGTAATAATTAGCGCCTCTTGGCGTTTTGCATTTTTTCTGTACAGAAATCTTGATTGGACACACTTTTGAGGACCTTTGCTTGATAACAAGTGTTTCTCCTATCTTGCACGTCCTTGCGTGTTGCAGACTGGCGAGTGCAAGTACGATTTTGTGGAAATCATGGCTTGCCCCTCCGGCTGCGTCGGTGGCGGCGGCCAGCCGCGCAGTACGGATAAACAGATTACGGCTAAGCGGCAACAAGCGTTGTACAACCTGGACGAGAGGTCAACCATCCGCAGGTGCGTGGTGATGCGGTTGGGCGAGGTGCATAACTTGGCATCGGTTGCTTTTTGTTGTATGGGGCTGTACGAGGTCCCTCGCCACGCACTGCAGCACATTTAGATTTAGACCTAAATCTAGATTTATTAATAGTCACCATCACTTTTCCCGGCCACGTCGTCTATTTCAGGAGTCACGAGAACCCCGCCATCCAGACGGCCTACAAGGATTTCCTCGGGGAGCCCAACGGCCCACGGGCCCACGACTTGCTGGTGAGTAATTAACAGCCCACTAAAGTTAGGAAGGAAACCCGAAAACAAGGTGGGAAAAAAAGTGCAGCGCGACTCCCACAGTCTCAGGACAGTTTACTGCATGATGCGGTGTGCCAGTGGCCAACAGCCGCTATCCATCTTGTCCGCGCTCCAGGGTTTAGCTTGAAAACGTTCGCTGCGAATTGTGTCCGCGTCGCATGTCGTGTTTCCTGGTTTGTTTCACTCGCGCTAGTGAAGATCGCACGCAGGCCGGGTAGTAGTGATTGGAAGGGAACTGGTGCGCCCACCGGCTCCAACAACGAAGCTGACACCAGCTGACCTGTCTTCGTTTTCCTGTCCTACCTCTTCCTGCAGCACACGCACTACGTTCCCGGTGGTGTCGAGGCCGAGTAGAGCGAGGAGGCACGCATGAACCAACATAGGACGTAGGGACATATACCTGTCTGCGAGGCGCTCTTCCAATAGGGACATCCCTTCCTTGCGAGGCGCTGTGCTCCTGCATTTTGATACTCAAGAGCGAGTGGCCCAAATTGCGCACACGTGCGCCTTGTCTGCTTAAGTAAGCGCGCATCGCAGACATTAGGTTAAAATTCAATTCTTTTCTGTTTTCTTTTTTTTTAGGTGCAAGAGCGGTCAGTAGCGATTAGCATGTGCTCTGCTATAGGTTAGGCCGCGCTCGGCTACCTTCCAACGTCGTCCTCTGCCATTCGTGTGGGACGATGTGTGCTGTGCAGCAGCTTTGCTGAAGTGTTTCCGCCACAGGTCTGAAATCTGAGAGGCTCCTGCGGGGAGAGGTTGTGTTAACGCCAAATCCAGGTCCTGCATAAGTACGGTTGTGGATGCACACGTCGGGGTGGATGTGTAGACGTGGGATGTCCATGGAATAAAGCGAACTAAAAGCAAGTGGATGGAGCTGAGAAGATTGCAATGCAAAAATGCCATTCACGATTGTTTTCAAGAATTAAGTGACGAGGGGTGTATGCATGGCCGTACATGCTTTGGTGCAGATTGCCCAGCTTTGCTCCGTTAGCTATTTTAGTGACGGTATTCTTTCTTTGGTCGTCTTCTGTCAATTTCTTCTTCTTTCAAAATCTAGTGCTGACTGATGAACAGCGGAACTTGCGGAACTATGAACTGCTTCTTCAACGGAACACACGCCCTTGCGGATAGATATGCCGTGATTCCTTGGTTGTCAACTGAGAGCCATGCATGGTGCAGAGCTGAAAGCGAGCGAGGGGTGAGAGGATGTTGTTTCTGTATCTACAACGAGCTGCGAGCCGATGGCTTCGAGCAGACGTGATGAAGGGTCTTGAAGTCAGCGATACACATCGGTTTGCGCTGTAAATCCAATGCCTTTCAGCTAAACGTGGATATGCTGCGTACATGCTGTTGTGATTAGTGTTATGGTTTCGTGACGTAAACACTGTAAACCTGTGGACGGACTGCTTATCTGCAAGACAGGTTGATCTGTGTAGAATCTAGGAACGCAATTCGCGCCACATGCATCACCACTGCGCGCAACAGGAGCAGCGGCCGCGTCAAAACAATTTAAGAGTGCGCATATACCACTGCGCGGCGACACGGGAGGTCCCTGGCCCCCACCCGCCGCAGGTAGAGAAGTGTATGCAAACATAGGCGACCTGCTCTAGGGTTACAACATTGTAGACCAAGCCTTTAGATTAAAGCTTTAGATCAAGCTATAGATCACAGCTTTACATCACGGACACCGCACCCCCAGCACCCCCGCTTTTACAAAAAGTGCAGTTTTCTAAGGAACATTGTAGCAAGCAGCCCGAGGCGGGCTTGCGATGCGTCTCTCTCTTCGTAGAAAGACCCTGTCCTGTACATATCTATTACACCAGTCAACCTCCAAATCGTCTGCCGACTGTCCAACCCGCTCCGGTGCACTCGATCAGCCACAACCCATCACTGGCACCACCGCCTTCGCCATCGCCAGCACCGCCATTCTGCCTGGCCGCAGAGGTGGTCCCGCCGCCTCTTTTGCTGCTGTGGGTATCCGGTTGCGGCCCTGCCGGCTCCGCCTCTACCGCCGAAGCCGTCGCCATCGTTCCCGTCTGGCCTCTGTGACCCGTGGGTCGGTGCAGCACGAACTTGACGCCGGGTAGGAGCTGTTCCGCCACCACCATGGCTGTACGTGTATGCAACGTGGGTTCGGAGCATCGAACGCGGGAGGTTCCGGAGGCTAAGGCCATCCAGATGATGAGCTGGTCCTGCATCCTGTATCCAAAAAAACGACAGCGCCAAAGGTAGGTAGGCAACTAGGCAGGCAGGCAGGCAGGCAGGTAGGCAGCTAGCATCAGCAGCAGCTACAGCAGCGGCAATACGACAGCATCAAGCAGCTGTCCGGAAGGAGATCTTCACGCTGCTGAGCCTCAAAACTATCGAGCCGCCATATCTTCATGTGTCTTGTTGCCCTCCTAATTAACTGTCTGTCTGCCATTTTCTGTTCTCCCTCATCAAATGGTTGTCTAACGGGCCGTGCTTTACTCCTTACTCTTTCAACTAGAGCACCATGGATTGACCAACCGCTTCACCGCAAAAAAGCTCTTTCCTTTCGAGTTGCCGTAGTTTGCCGTAAAGCAGTCGTACCATTGATCGACGCACGTGCCGCTGGTCAACGCCTCTGCAAGCTCCGCCGCCGCACGCTCCCCGATCTCCTCTGCTGGTACCCCCCGCTCGCCCTTGGCGCTCGCTCCTGTACGACATCCAACAGAATAACGGTGGACGCGAGTGTACAGAAGAACTGAGAAACACTCGAGAAGAAACACACACTGGTTCGGGACGAGAACTCGAATTCTCGTTAAGAGATGATGAGCTCATCTCTATACGGTGTGCACCAAGTAATATTCTGCATTGCTCCTTGCGCAATCATGCATTCGGTGCCCTCCACTGGTTTAGAATGAGGGCGACGGTTCAGGGCCTGCCAGGAGTGTACAGGTTGTCAAAAAACATCCAGCAAAGTCTTATTGCTCGAATCATGTGCCACACGCCCGTGCCGGCTACCTCACTCCCTCACCCCCTCACCCCTCAACCCCTCAACCCCTCTCCCCAATAAACCCACACAATCCAGGCGCCCCAGCCCACCTCACCTATCCGACATCCCGTGTCCGTGTCAGCAAAGATCAGCACGCCGCAGCCGTCACCTGCATCCACGATTCCAACCGCGCCATCATGCCACATCAGCTGTCTCCTATGACTCTCAACACGTTTGCCAGTCTTCTACCTCCTCTCCTTCTCCATGCCTTCCGCGCTGGAATCGTCTGTCTGTTGCTTGTACGTATATCTGTTTACCTGCTAACTAATTAGTCTGGTTAAGGTGTCTGCGGTTGGCGGTTGGCGGTTAATTATAGGGCTCGCCCACCCACCTACGGCCCGATCCGGCGGCTCGTGGACGGTCTCGACCAGCACCGGCACTCCCCGACCCGTGGGTCCCAGGTCCTTGAGCGTCCGCCGTACAGCCGCCTCCGCCGAGGCCGCCATCCGTTTAGCCACCGACGCCCCCACACGGCCAGCGGTGAAGGTCTTGACCACAACCTGGATGACCAGGATAACGGGAGACGTGCACTTGTTCGTATATTTTGTGTGAAATTTCGTGTGCACGTATGTGTACGCCTCTCAAGCCAAGTAAGGCAAGTGGAGAACACCGGAAGGGAGTACGGCATTTTTTGAGGCAAAGCAGACAGGCGGGTGCTTGTACCGATAAAACACTGCACACGGCCGCTAAAACCCACAAATGCTGTCAAGGTAGGTGCGTCCTTGCCAACTGCTGTCGTACGGTGTTACCGTACAAACGGCGTCGTTATTCCGTCCCGGTGCCGTACCTGGGAAAGGTTTCCTCTGCGGGTGAGGTCCAGGGGGGGCAGGGGGACTCCCTCAGGAAGACCGGGCACACTGGCTGTGACCACTCCGCCGCCACGTGGGTAGAAGCCTCGCCGTATCTGACCGTGCACGACAGCGGCAGCAGTAGCAGTAACAGCAGCAGTAGCAAGTGATGAGCAGGTAAATAGGTGAGATTAATGTGCGCGTATATTCCAAACAAATGCGAATCCGAGAACCTTGATCCCGACTCAACCCGACACCTAGGCCCCGGTCGAAACCCGATAACTAGACTAAGTCTTAAGTCCTAAGGTATGTCCTGATGTAAGTCCTGATGTTGACATAACGCAGCGCAACGCAATAACACAATGATAGCAACACGACAAGATTACACAAAACGAAACGGAGGAGTGCGGAGAGGACGTAGCGCCCCTCCCTGTTGGTGGAGCGGTTGGGGTTCAGCTCCCGGGTGGGTGCCCTGGGGGGGGGTGCCCTGGGGGGGGTGCCCTGGGGGGGCGGGTCAATGTCCCACCCTTTCGTCCACCCAGCAACAGACGACAGACCCCACCCACCAGCCGCACATCCAAACACTCCAATAGATCGCCGTACAGGTTCCGGAGCAACGGTATTAGTACGTCAGTCAGGTAGGCGATAGGGGGAGCCATGTCCGCGTCTGTGCCGCCCCGGAGCTCCAGGTTGGTGCAGCCGCTGCAGGTGTACGGCATCATTAACAGATGAGGTGCGCAAATAAAAATAGTAGCATGTTAAAATCATCATTTGCATTACCACCGTCGTCAGTTCATTAGGTCATTGAAATAAGCCCTTGATTGTACTTCCACTCGACATGCCGATATGCATGCACACGGTACGGCCGTACGGCACTCGCAAGATATTTGTACGGACATACCGGACGCGCCTCGCACTCGCGCCTCGAGCATGTCGACAAGTCAAAACTATGGTTTCGGTTGTACAGATCGCCCAAAGCTCATGCTGATCAAAAAGCCGCTTATACCGCCATACAGTACTTGCCCTGTACATTGCTGCCGTGCCGGTACGGCTGTATGCCGTGCACCGACTGTGCCGTACTGCGTAGGTGCGTGCGAACATCTGGTCGACAGCGGGTTAGACGGCGGTGTAACAACGGCGGCAACAACTAAAAACGGCAATTAAACCCCGAGTACGACTATCTCAACTGTAGCGCCTGTTTGCCTGTAATGCAAGGCGAGACGCCGTACAAAGGTACGACACCAACGCACCTTGTGCTTCTGCCCACTGCGCTGTCTTCTCTGCCTGATTGGTGCGGTCTCCTCCCTTCGTCCGATTGCCCTTGCCGCCCTTGCGATGGTGATGGTGGATGTTGGTGCCTCGCAAATACACAGACCGGCATGGCCGCCTGTTGTGTGTGTACACACACACACACACACACACACACACACACACACTTTTTCACACTCACTCTTAACGATTTTCGTTGACAGCCACAATAAGCACCAGCTTCCAACCACCATCACTAACAGAATAACAGCAGCAGTAGCAGTGGCATACGTGTACACATGTGGCATCAAGAACAAGAGAAAAAGTGCCGTACTTCTTTACAAAATATTTTTTATATGTTATGATAACACGTATAAAACACGTATAAAACACGTATAAAAAACGAATTTCTCCAACAACAGGAGGTTCATGCCTGCCCTCAGGCGCCGACATGTCACGACGATCAGCTTCTGCGTCCTCTCGCACAATTTCTCGCGCACCTGCAGCATTAGCGTGCAACTACCCGCAGTCTTTGTGTCGGCGCTAAAGCTGCTGCCCCCACAGCAGGGAAGCGTTCCTGGTCGCAGGATGATATTGCTGCTGCCCACATGCCCACCTGCAAGCAGTAGCAGCCGCGTAGAGAAGGGAGCGCAATGACGGTTGACGACGTGGTGGCAAGTATTCCTTTACTTCCCTAATGATGGGAACGGCGGCACATCGACCGATCCGTATTTCCTCGTTTCATTAGGCAATTTCAGCATGCGTACCTTCGAGGTGGCCACCACATAAGGCCTCCACAAGTTTTAGACCTGTGAGGTGTTGCGGCTGTAGCCCAGGCCTGGTCCGTTTGGCGCGGATGCGGTCAACTGCCACTGAGACGCCGGTGATGGCGGCCATTGCGGACGCATTGCGAAGAATTTGACCACCGCCCTCCAGCATACTGCCTGAGAGGCAAGATAAGGTGTATTAGGCCACGAATGGACGAAGAGTTGGAGGTGAAGGCCTAGGGTTGCGGCCTTTGGGATTCGGCATGGGAACGTAGCGGAAGGTCGGCCCGGAAGGCAGTTGGGTATCAAGGCACATTGGTCTATAAGGCCGTTAACTTTCAGAGCTTACGACTAGGTGAGAGTCTAATAATTGTGAGGATATTATGCGGATCCCAAGAGCTGTCGCAAACGCAATCTTTAATGGTATGGCTTACCATCAATGGTAATCATTGTCGTTATTATTACAAAGCGAGACTGCTTATGATATGATTTATCACCTGAATAAGGTATCACATATTTCCTCAATTATAAACCCAGAATTCCAGAGCTCCGAGACCGATACCGGAAAAGTTTTATCACCCTCGTCTTTACCTGTGACTTAAACACGAGCTCATAGATATTTTGAGTGAGTAACCTGCGCTTCATTCTTTTAACATCCTACCGCACGACCATGGTTGTTTCCCATTGCTGTCGCTTCTTTGGGAGGGCGTTGCTGCCACACATAAAGAACCCAAATCCACGTGGGTAATTAAGCGGTTCCATGGGCGGCATATGTGCAGGAAGCCCATGTATGAGTCAGTCGCGTTAATTTGGTATCATCCAGAACGGTCCGCTCTGGTATCATCTCGCCACCGTTTGATATCACCTGTACTAACAAAAACAAAAAATCATTTCTACACAATCCTACCAAATTGCTTTGACACTCAATGGTCAAGCTTGGGCTCATCTTTGAACCGTAACTTTGTCCCACGGTTCGGGTTCCTTGTTACTCTCCGCAACTTTATATACCGCTGCGCTACTATACATTATTGCTGAAATCTTTGCAAAACTTTCTGTGCTATAATGCTCGTGGTTACATCTGCAGCCCGCAGCGGCATCGCTACCTCGATGTGCGGCGGCGTCATCAGGCACAGCACCCGCACAATCAGCCACAACCATTCTGTCCACAAAGCGAGCGGAACGGCAGGTGGATCAGGCGGAGAAACCGTGTCTTCCCCCCGTCGTACGCATGACAGAGGTAACCCAACCCCCCGGGAGCTCGGTTTCCGTATGCCGGGAGAGTACGAACCCCACGCCGGCACGTGGATGGCCTTCCCGTACGATCCGTACTTGTGGCGCGACGAGGCGCGACCGGCGCAACAGCAACAAGTGGAAATAGCCCGGGCAATCTCCCAGTTCGAGCCCGTGTGGATGCTGGCAGACCCGAAGGCACGCATGATGGACATACTTACAGTGATTTTGTCGGGGGATCTTTCCTTAGCCGCTAGCGAGTCGCCTCGTAGCTGTGATTGCACCTGCCGTACGCTGCCAGCAGCCAGCAGGTCATCAGGCTGCTGGCGATGTCACCGTCAATCATTTAGCCGCTGTCTGTACGACAGGTGTACGACGTGGCACGTAGCTACTTCCGCGGGATCTCTGGGGTGGAGGTCATCAACATGCCAACCAATGACGTTTGGACGAGAGACTGGGGGCCCACGGTGAGTTGTCGTACGTACAGCCACCTCGTCCACAATCGGACGTGACTGCTGTCCCAGTAGTGTGTATCCCTATCCAGATGTGTGAAACAGGGGGGTGTATCTTCGCCCGTGGCAGCTACCCTGCGAAACCCTGCCTTCCCCGGTATTTTGGGGCACCCTCATCCAGTCACCCTAGTTAACTTCTCAGTGGATCGCTCAGGTTCCGCACCCACCACCAGCATCCAACGGAATCTGCCGGGTCGACAGCGGCCCAACTCCGTTCCTGGTCGGCTCGCAGGTTAACTTTATCCCAGGTCACCACCGTCCATCAACTAGGGGCGCAATGCCTTCCACCATCAGAAGGACTTTGACCCTAATGGGTATCAATCCCGGGATCTCCCGGGGGCAATGGTCGCGCCTTACCAGTAGTGCCAAACCCTATATAGATGTATGTACATATGTACATATGTATGTATTGTGTCCTCCTTTTTCATTTCCCTTCCTGATGACCCATCTTGTGCGTGCATGCTGTTGCCGTACGCTCGTACATGCAGTGCGTTGTACGGGACGATCCTGTAACCGGCGAACGTGAGGTCGCTGCGGTGCACTTTGACTTCAACTGCTACGGCTCACCCATAAAAATGGAGCACGGCCTGCCGCCGGTGCGCTGACTGGGCGTTATGTGGCTTATCATGCACACACACACATGTTTTTTTATGGTGTTATGTGCGTGGGGGGTTATCATGCATGTATATCTGTCCATTTGCCCTCCCTGCCTGCCTTTAGCTGCTCCCCGACTGGTCAAAAGACCGGGCGGCGGGCCGCAGCCTATCGCGACAGGGGGCCGCCGCGACCGGGGCGCCGATGCGAGTGTTCGAGTGCCCGCTTCACTTGGAGGGCGGTGCCGTACAGAGCGACGGAGCCGGGTACGTGGACGCACCGGCGCATGGGCCCATGGGCATGCGGTCTGTATAGAAATCTACATATATAAATCTGTATGTAGGTACGTATACTGAGAGATCTGCATTAAGGTACCGTACCATGTGAGTTCCGTACTGGTTCGTACTGGTCCGTACTGGTGTGTACGTGGGCACCGAGCGATGTTCCTTTCTGATGATGACGATATTGCGTGCGCTGCTGCTGCTGCTGCTGCTGCTGCTGCTGCTACTGCTACTGCTGCTGCTACTACTGCTGCTGCTGCTGCTGCTACTACTGCTGCTGCTGCCGGCGCCACACCAGCTACTACTAGTAGTATTAAATGTAGTTCACCTTCACCCGTCTGCTGCTCTACCCCCCTCGCGGATCCATCCAGTCCGGTGCACATTACACGGCTCCGGGCCCGGTATGTCGGCTAACAAGCAAGCACTCGTGCGGCACCTACCCACAACCTAGGGTTTGGGTTTTGCTTGACTCCGCATGCTTTCCCACCCGAATACATACATACGTGCGTACATCCAGAACACTTTTGGTGACAGAGGAGTGCTTGCTGCACTACTCGCGCGATCCGGAACTGGACTCGGCGGGGATCGAGGCCCTGCTGCGGGACTACCTGGGGGCGGAACGCGTGGTGTGGCTGTGGAAGGGCATGGTCGGCGATGAACAGGTAGAGGAGTGTAGAGGAGGGAGAGAGAGAGAGAGAGAGAGAATAAGGCATGGTAAGGCATCCACTGAGTACGGAGCTGCATGCACAGCAGCAGACAGATTAGTAATAACTAAGGAGCAACGAACATCAATCGACAGGGTACCAACGGTCACGTGGACAACGTAGCTGCCTTTGCCGCACCGGGCATTGTGCTGTTGGCTTGGAGTGATGACGCCGACGACCCGCGCCTCCGGGAGGTCTGCGCGCGCAACCTGGCGGCTCTGGACAGACATACAGACGCACAGGGTCGTCCGCTGCGCGTCATCAAGGTGCCCTGCCCACACCCGCCCCTGGCGGTGCGACCGAACGAGGTGAACGCTCTGGCGGCGGAGGGACTGGCGGCGGGGTATGCCACGTGCATGCCAGCGGGCCGGCGGCTGCCGGCGTCGTACATTAACTATTACGTGGCGAACGGCGGCGTCGTGGTCCCCCAGTTTGGCGGAGAGCAGGTGGGTGAGCAACGGATTAACGGATTAACGGAAAGTGGTTGATGATGAGGCAGCAGGTTAATAGTGGGACAGGCATTATTCATCTGTGCGGCAGAACGGCACATATCTGTACGGCGTACGTATGTACGACCTAGCAATTATGGAAAATTTGAAGAGCGGGGTTTTAGCTATGACGTTGCGCGATGCCTCATCATGCACGGCACGCCAGTAGTACTGCCCGTGGCTCAGATCATGAACACACACGCACCATGGAGTGATTATCGCGTGTCGTACAACCGTACAAAAGTGAAGTACGTCACCTGACAGGGCCGCAGCGACGAGGAGGCGCTGGCTGCTGTGGCTGCCGCGTACCCCGGGCGGCGGGTTGTTGGAGTTTACAGTCGGGAGCTGCTTCTGGGCGGCGGGAACATCCACTGCCTCACACAGAATCTGCCTGCTGCTGCTGCTGCTGCGGCCGCTTCTGCTGCTGTTGGGCCGTCAAATCAAGTCATGAAGGGTTCATAACGATGATGCCGATGAGGGGGAGGAGGAGGGGGAGGGGAAGGAGGAGGGGAAAGGACAGTGATGAGGATGGCAGGCGTGTATATCCGTGTGTATATCCGTGTGTATATCCGTGTGCGGTATGCAGCTCCGATCGTATATTGTACATCGCATATCCGCGCAGCCGTCATGTCCTTCATCCTGGGTGATGCACGGCCAATGGCGGCCACTGTTCTGATACATCAGCAGACATTGTGCACTCGTTTGATCTAGAAACACAAATAATACCGATAGGTATTTAGGTATTTAGGGTTTAGCTAGGCAATACATACGAACACATGTTGACGACGTGTGCTTAGACATTATTGTATGTTGTTACAGGGTGGTATAGCTTCACCAGCGGCCCCCTTTCCCGAGCTCTCCCCTGCGAGAGGGGCACCCTAATCCATTCACCCCATCCAACTTCAGAATGTATTCGTTGGGTTCAGCAACTCACCATCAGCATCCTTAACCAAATCTAGCGGATCAACGGCGCCACAACTTAGTTCCTGGTCAGCTCGCAAGTTGATATAATCACGTCCTACACCGTCCACAAGATGGGGGGCCACCTCCCAATTCAACACCCCTCACACACCCGAGGGGTCGGCAGGCGGATTTGAACCCAGACATTATTGTATGTTGCATATCCGCTACAGGTTCAGATCGCTCGAGCTGCTGTTGCATTTCGTCGCGGCGTGAGGTATGGCACGAGAGACCATTGCATTGAAATACAGCAAGGATGTATCTATCTGTTGTTTGCAATTCACGGATGATTTACGCATCAGTTAAGTACTAGAGGCACGGTACGTCGTCGTAACGAAACCCGAAGCACGCTACATATTAACGTGCCTATTTTGGCTCTCTCATCCAGGATTACCCACCTATTTTGGCTCTCTCATCCAGGATTACCCGCCTATTCTGGCTCCCCAGCTTGTGCGCGAACTAATAAGCGACCTCTGCCGACCCCTGGTCTACCTAATTGCCCGACTACCTAATTGCCCGACTACATCGTATCTGAAAATATTTTAGCGTCTATAGGTCGAAAGATCGCCTATGGCCCTTACATATTTGACAGCAACCGTCCCTTTCCAATCATACGGCGATTTATTGAGTAATGAAACTAAATATGCTTCCGTTGTTGATCATGTAATCCTAGAATTTTCGGCAACTGTTCCTGAGCATATAAAAGTTAAATTAAACCACTGTGGGCCAAGGTTTAAGGACGTTATAAATCTACGGACTAAGACAGGTATACTTAACCCCGCATACAAACGTCGTTTAGTACTTCAGCCTTTATAACTTCTTATAATCTGCTGACCAACCGAAATATCGCGTTATCAGTTTTTGGAACCGCTTCACGATTAGAGTAGTCAGCTTCTTCGAAAGAGCCGAAAAGGGCTCTCGGCCCCGGTGCCGCCAGTCGCCCAACAGTATTCCGCAAGGGAGGCTGTACGGCACCGGGCTGCAAGTGGAGGAACGGTGTCGTGTTTGGGCTCTACATATACGCACATTATTATGGACAGCTGCGACGGCCGGGTTCGGCGGCCGCCGGCGGCGTTGGAGTGATGTATGAAACATGTGTTCCCCCTTTACCAGTGATCACAGATTCGAGTCAGTTCATGCGAAAAGCATGATAAGCATCCTTTTGAGGTATGGTATCCATGGATACTCGGTGTCTAGCTGCCCGTTGCCTAAAGGATGCATGCACAGCAGCTGCAGCTGAGAAAAGCGGCAACCAAACGGCCTTCCGGCAGTCTGACTGCCACATTACAACTGGTATTAACAATATGGATGGAGGCTCTGCGAATGAAAAACTAAAACTCAAAAATGGCGGGTCTCATGGTTTTGCGGGTTTTTTCAAAGATTTAGAATACACTTGCTAAGGCCCCAATGCAAATCCATGGACGGTGCATTGCGCGCCGCCTCCATCTCAACAAGAACGGCTGAGCATTTATAGCCTCTTGGTAGTGCGCGAACCCAGTTCCCCATTGCCAGTCGAACTGGATAATAGGACATGTATGAGATGTGCGTGAGACGGAACAGAGGGAAGTGCTGGAGCAGTTAGCATGGATGGGCTGGAGTTGCCGACCGAGGGTTTCGCTGCGTTAGGTCTTAATGTGCGTGACCGCTTACCCCTGCTGATGGTCCTTGTTATGAGCGTTGATGACCAGCACGGCTTGGGAGAATTACTTCACAACATCTGGGTTGGGCGCTCATCTATGATAGATTGATTTTTTGATCTGGACTTGCTTGACCCTATCCTCGGCCCCTTTCTCCTTTTTCTCTCTTTTCTTCTCTCGCTTGGTTTCTCGGTCCATGAGCCTCCTGCCTCGTCTGGGCCTTGCGAACTCTCAAGCTTGTCATCGCATCACACCACACCACACCACACCACACCACACCACACCACACCACACCACTCCACACCACACCACACCACAATACACCACACCACACCACACCACACCACACCACACCACACCACACCACACCACACCACACCACACCACACCACACCACACCACACCACACCACACCACACCACACCACACCACACCACACCACACCACACCACACCACACCACACCACACCACACCACACCACACCACACCACACCACACCACACCACACCACACCACACCACACCACACCACACCACACCACACCACACCACACCACACCACACCACACCACACCACACCACACCACACCACACCACACCACGCCACACCACACCACATCACATCACATCACGTCACATCACATGCATGCATGACTGCATATACAAATAGCCAGCAAGAACTAACTATGAATAACCTCTGTCATGTCAGCAGCAGGTGGTTGGTCAATCACAACTTCAGAAAACTACCAATCGGCGAATGCAGATTCCGTGATATGCCCAGAATACATCAGAGGTAAAGCCGGAATAGTTTGATCTGGTTTGTGATGAGGTAGCAAGGGAGAGAGCACGCATGCACGTATGTACATGTATGTATGTACGCATGCATGTACGTACCAGCAGTCGCATGACGACGGGCTATCTATCACCGCACGATGCGTTATAACTAGCACCAGCAGCAGTAAACACGCCACACACGGGCATGCCCGTGCGCACACATCATGTGCAAGCAAATCATGTACAGGATTGTTGGGGAGCATGTACGTAGTAACATACACAACATGCAGATAGTAAGAATAACGCAGCGGTACATGCATGTCGGTGTATGTGCATTCGTGCGTTTTGGTGCCATCAAACGATAGATGGCGGGGATGGCGGGCATAGTGTATGTGTGCGTGTTTGGTTGGCTGCCTGGTTATTAATCACGCCGCAAACGGATGGTTTGGTATTTGATGCAGGTGCCCCCGGCGGTGCGTGTACGCCTGCACACATACGCACATACATACACGTTTATTACACATACACACGCACACACACACATAAATACACGCAAAAACAGGAACATCGATGATGTACATACATACGCACGCACGCGCACATTTACATGTACACGTATGACGGCCTGGATTACGCCGCCTGAAACGTACATGCATATAGGAAGGACATGATGTGACAGTCGTCAGCAACAATTATGGCTTCGCAGTTGCAAGGTTAAAGCAAGGAATATGTATAGACCTTGCCTGCATGCGCATATGTACACGATCTTGTTTCGCTTTTGGCACATTTTGCTAACAAATTTACGGCGGGTGTATTGCAAGCAATAATGACTATAATGATCTGTTCCAAGAGGTCCAATAGTGGTGAAGAAAACGATCGTGGTAGCGCAATCCGTCTACCCCAGCTCTACTCTTCGTCAGTCTGGAGCCCACTGTAACAACCACACACACACACACACACACACACACACACACACACACACACACACACACACACACACACACACAGCAGAGAAACAACCGAACAACCAATAAAGCGCGTCGAATAGTACAACCAGCAGCAGCTCACATGCGCCTGCTGTATATTCCGGCTGCTGCTGCTGCTGCGGTGATGTTGTGAGCAATGCTAACGACGGACTCTAAGTACTTGGAGCACTGTCGCTTTAGTAAAGCCTATCTGTGCGCATGTTTTTATTCTTTGTGCGTTGCTTGTACGATAAGAATGTGTGTGTCCGCATCAACTTTTCATCCCGCGCCATCCAGCAGCTAATATGTTGCGAAACCGTCCACCCATCCATCGATCCATCGATCCATCGAACCATCGAACCATCGATCCATCGATCCATCGATCCATCGATCCATCGAACCATCGATCCCTCGATCCATCGATCCCTCGATCCATCTATTCCTCGATCCATCCATCCCTCGATCCATCCATCCCTCGATCCCTCGATCCCTCGATCCATCCATCCATCCATCCATCCATCCATCCATCCATCCATCCATCCATCCATCCATCCATCCATCCATCCATCCATCCATCCATCCATCCATCCATCCATCCATCCATCCATCCAT